GCTAACTTCTGCGATGAATAATGCGCTGTCAAAGCAGAGCTGATTGGCTGTGAATTAAAATAATATTGATGTGCAATAAACAGTGCTTATTTTAAAAGGTTTCAATGGTTGCTAAAATTGCAGAAATATTTGTTTATAACTTATTTTATATTTTACCTCTCCGACTGAGCCAGAATGACGGGAGATGGAAATGTTAATTAATTTAAATGTTTGCCATCACTAACAGCTGTACTGGACAGTCAGATTCTTATTTTTAATTGGCATATTTTCTCACATAGTTTTAAAAGAATTATTGCAATAGACAATAGACAATAATTTGATTTGGACTTGGAAGTAGGCAGATGTGTATAGCACTGGCAAAGTGTTAGTGCCCCAAAGCATTTCTCCTATTTACAGAGGCTAATCCCTCTTTTTGCTGTCCTCATCTTAAACATGCACTACTAGAGTCTGGCCAGTGCGTCTTAGTGGTTGAGCATGGACCTATGAACCAGGAGGTCACTATTCAATTCCCAGTCAGGGCACTGGAGGCACCTGATCAATGATTCTCTCCTATCATCAGTGTTTCTCTCTCTCTCCCTCTCACTTTATCCCTGAAATCATATATATATATATATTTTTTTTTCTACTGGAGAAGTAGTTTATAAAACTGATTCATGTTAAAAATATTAGTGTTATATATAACTTATTTACCTCATGAAATCAGGCCTCCTGAAGTATTGTGTATCTTAGAATAGAGGACAAGTTCTGGGTAAGATCTCCAGCAATAGTGAAAGCATTTCTTTTTCTGTTAGGAGACCCACAAGGGATGCTCCAAAGGTTGTACTTTCCTCTCCACTGATTATGTTCTGAACTGATTTCACTGCAGATGGCAATGGATAAATCATTGGATAAGGAATGTGGCCGACTTCTGAGCCAGCAGGCATTGCATTGGAAATGCCCAGCTCAACCTGGTGTTGTCCTTCTCTTCTTTCCAGAGCTAGGGATCTGTGAAGCACTCAGATTTACTGATGTCTTTCCTTAAACCCATAGATGGTGACTGTTGGATATAGAACAATAAAAAAATCCCTTCAAAATATTGCTGAATTAATTCTAAACTCTATTAGTGGAGTAACCATGCCCATTTCAGCCTATGTTACGTATTTCAATTTTTAACATAGTTCATAATATATAAATGTGATAGGAGGACAGAAGGAAGGTAAGAAAAAAAGTTTATAGGTGTTTGTTCCTAATGTTAGATAATTACTAAGGAAACACTTTTTTTTAACCTCTCATTTTTTGACACTTTCGTGTTGAAGAAATGTTTGGAACTAAAAGCTACAAACAGATTTTAAAAACAGAGTAAACATAATAGTCCATAAAACTACACTAACCAATTGTATACAAGAATCAAAGCAAGGTTGCAGGCATGAAAGTGTGGCAAATGCATTAATTCAAAAATATTTCCAGTTGGAGATTTTGATAAAATATTTTGACATTTACTTAATTGCAAAAGCTCAGTGAACATAGTTTTAGCACAAGTGCCATGTATCACACAGTTTGGGAGACGAATGCTGAACTGAATGCCTGGGCAGATTCTACAGCGTCAAAGCTCTAGAGATAATGACATGAACGACAGTGCAGAATGAGCAGCCATTTATAGAAGCTCATTCAATTGCTGGTTCCACAGCACATTTGGGGAAATAGAAGGATGAGATGTGATCACCTCCTTTGGGTTTGCCAAAGGGGTGGAGAGAATACAAATAAGACAGAGTGAAATGACAGAAGAGGAGCAATTGTTGGCTTCCTTGTATAGCAGTAAAATATATTTATGTTTAAATATGAATGAAAAATGAAAACTGCCCAACAAAATCTTGTAGTGGCACGAAAGCAGTCAAGGTTATACTATTTAAACTTTGTGTGTAGATAGTGGGGTGGGGTGGGGGTGGAGCAGGGGAAGGACACTGTATTACTTGTTGCCAATTAGATAGATATTGCGTGATATTTTCTGAAGGATCATAAGAAAATTCAAAATGTTTAGTCATAGTCCTTTTCTTCTTGCATCTAGGAGTAGGTCTTAGGGTAGTAATTAAAAAAAAATGTAACCCTGCCCAGCTACATGGCTCAAGTATTGAGCATCAACTTATGAACCAGGAGGCCACAGTTTGAATTCCCAGTCAGGGAACATGCCCTGGTTGCAGGCTTCATCTCCAGTGTGGAGCGTGCAGGAGGCAGCTGATCGATGATTCTCTCTCATCATTGATATTTCTATCTTCTTTCTCTTCCTCTCTCTTCCTCTCCAAAGTCAATAAAAATATTTAAAAATATATGTAATTTAGTACTGAAAGTATTAAAATGTCTAATATTACTAAGCCCTCCCCCCCCCAGCTACCCTCAGCTACAGGGAGTACTCTGGGTAAAGTGAATGAAGTTATATATTTTATTAGCCCCAAATACAATTTGTCAAGTAACAGAGTAAATGGGAGATCATCCTCTGCTTAAGATAGTTTGGGTTAACAGACCACGTAATGGGTCAATTTAAAGGATTTTGACACAGTTGAAGAAATAGTACATTAACATTAGCTGCTTTCTCATAAAAGAAGTTTATACTTTAAAAAAAGTTTTTACTGCTTCCCATTTTATTTCACAGAACTTTCTAATTTCCGCTGGTATAAATCTATTTGGATTTATTAGCTTTGTACAAAAGAACTCCAGTAGGTTTTTAATAATAATTATCGTTATCACTGATTAAAGTTATATTGTTCAGGCCAGATGGAGTGCTTTTCCTGTCAGCTAGAATGAGCTTGATTATGTAGTTATAATGTGTTTAGATCTAAATAAACAGATGGCCCAGTGACAGAATATTATACGCTGGTGATGTCAGCAGCAGCACTTCACTAACAGAATTGCTTTAAATAAACTCTGGATCCTGACACTTTTCAGAAGGTGACTGGAATTGAGCCTACTAGTTGTATGAACTTGATTAGTACTGTTTACTTGCAGAAGGGTCAATCATGAGGCTGGTCTGAGGTTCAGTCTAAAAAGTGTGTCTGCTGAACCTGTTCCTTAACTGTGAAAGCATTTAACTTAATACGCATACTCAGTACCATTAGGAGAGAGAGAAAGAAAGAGAAGCTGCCCAAGTATAATAACTTCCAACTTGAAGAGTTAAACATTGTGGATCAAGAAAAGATGGAAACATTTGATAGAACCCTATTCCATAATTTTTTCAACATCCTCTATAATAAAAGCCTAATATGCTAAGTGTCTGTTTGTTTGGTCATCTGCTCAACCAAAGTGTAATTTGCTAATGATATGCTAAAGTCGCTCAACCATTCGCTATGACATGCACTGACCACCAAGGGGCAGACGCTCCGACTGGTGAGTTAGCTTGCTGCTGGGGTCCAGCCAATTGGAACTGAGCAAGACAGGCTGGACACGCCTTGGAGCCCTCCTATGTCTGGCCAACCTCCCGGGTCCCTCCCTAGCTCCAATTGTGCATCAGTGGGAGCCCATTCGGGACCCCTCAGGGGATGTCAGAGAGCCAGTTTTAGCCTGATTCTGTAGGCCAGGCCAAGGGACCCCACTGGTGCATGAATTCATACACCAGGGCTCTACTGTTATAATAAACATCTTGACTAGCCATATATATACCCACTTGCAGTCAATATTAGAAAATTAACAGAGCTTAAACCTTCATCTTTAATCATTCTTCATGTCTACTATTTATTCTAAAAATAAGCCCATTCTATACCCTTGATTCAACAAAAACGTAGAGTGAGCTTATAAAATTCAGAAACAAACTTCAGAGAAAGATATTATGTACAATTGCTTTAGCTAATGTTCTTTTGTTGAGTCCTTATGGGACTTTGTGAGACAACTATGAAATTAAGATTTAAAAAAAAAATTAGCTGTTTAAAAATTTTATATTAAGCCCAACCAGAATCAAGAGGTCATAGGTTCAATTCCCAGTCAGGGAAGGTACCCAGGTCACAGGCTTGATTCCCAGTAGGGGGCAAGCAGGAGGTAGCCGATCAATGATTCTCATTGTTGATGTTCCTCTCTCTCTCTTTCCCTCTCACTTCCTCTCTAAAATCAATAAACATATATTTTTAAAAATTTATATTAAGATATTGGTTCACACATTGGACCTGTACACTGAGGGCAAGGAGAGATGGAAGAAAGAGGCAGGCCACTCCAGGTTGGTAGGTGGCAGATTTGATACCAGTAAGCCAGGGGATTTATTTATGAAGCCTGTCTTTGATGGTCACAAGATGAGTAGACTTCCACACAGCCCCATTGGAATCTTAAAAGTTTATATAGAGGCCTTCAAGGGTTCGCTCATGTATTCAGTACAGATGGTCTCAACAACACCTACTCTCTCTAGGTTATCTCCTTGAAACAGCTGCTGGTTTGGGGACATCTGCTAGGATATAGATTCCAAGGACTGGGGCGGGGTGAGGTTCTTCCGATTGCCCAGGTCCAGCTCAAGGTTCAAGTGATAGGGTCTTCTTGATGATTTTCTACAATTAAAGTTAATCTAAATGATGTATGCAAACTTTTATTCTGATGTTTTTTTTAATGTGTTTATAAGAACATATTCTTGTTTTCATAGACTTGAATGTAAGTGTTGACTTAATCCTTAATAATTGTTGGTTTCAGTAAGCCATGCACTTTAGAAATGGTATCAAATACAATAGGTCATAAGCATAAAACTGGTCAGCAATCAAAGTAAAATGTATTTAATGTAAATATTTGCTTCTTGCTAGCTAGTAAAATGCACAAACCCGTTGATTTCCTTTTTTTATAAAATGATGAGAAGATTCTGAGTAGGAAGAGATTGTTTTTCACGTCACATGCATTTGACATTCAGGTTTTGTTACTTAAGCAAACATTTTATGAGCTACCCTTCAACTCTAGCATGACTTAAACATCCGCAAAAAGGAGCAAGAATATTTCATTAGAGGAGATAAAGTCAGAGAGTGAAAGATTGTAATGGGAATGTGTCTGTGCCTCTTCCGCAGGTGGACGATGCCATAAGTCCTGTACTGGCCGATGCTGGGGACCCACAGAGAATCATTGCCAGACTTGTAAGTGCTCCACTCTTAAGAGAGCAGATGCTTGAAATGGTCAAGTCATTTTAATAATTGATGTTTTTCAGACTTCTGGGAATAAGAAACATGGAAATGAGTTTTTGCTTCCTTGTGTTGTACTAGTATCTGTCCCATCTTTCACTCAAAGGTTAGCAGGCTTTGCAATGCCCCTTGATTTTTTTCACTTCATGCATATGTGCATTAATTTCTTTGTAGTGATAATTCTTAGAAGTGGTCACTGCAGGGTCAAGATTACGTATGTAAGAAATTTGATAGAAATCACCAACTTGGAGATGCTGTTTTCTATAAAGTGTATAGCAATTTCCTCTGCCAAGAGCAATGCATGTACATACTTGTTTTCCTGTTCCCTGGACAAAACAGTGTATTATCAAATCTGGGTCTTTGAAAAAAGGTTAGAAGAAGCATAGTATATCAGAGTAGACTTAAATTAACTTATTTCATAAAAGCAATGTTTTAGGGCAAAGTATTGACAAGAATTTTAACAGGACTTTCATTAAATTACTGTTTGAAATAGGTATACTTGCTATAATATTTTAGGTAGTGTTTTAACAGCATCCTACCAAGGTACAGGAGAGTTCCACTCTCACAGAACAAAGATTAATGATCCAGAAAAAAAATGTTAATAGAACTGAAGGTTAGGAGATCCTTTCATAGAGTAGATATTGACCCAAGCTAGACCAATAATATTCTCTCCCTAGAGAATTTGGACTTGGGATTCAGATACTGGTAGCACAATCATAGAAACTTGAACTTGAAGCAATAGTAAACCTAGTAAAGGTTTCCATTTTAAACCGTGTGTTAATGAGAAACAGAAACAGCCAGTCCTCAGTGACTCACAAGAATAAATTAGTCATACAGCAGAGGCTAACAGGAATCAGGAAAGAGAGCGGGGGGGGGGGGAGAGAGAGAGAGAGAGAGAGAGAGAGAGAGAGAGAGAGAGAGAGAGAGAGAGAGAGAGAGAGAGAGAGAGATCCTACTTTTCTGGCCTTCATGTGGTTCAGCTAGACTCTGTTCTTGAAACAGTATTTTCCTAGTACATTTAAATGAGTTTTGTTACTTGCCACAAAGTGGCGATGAGAATGAGTCTTGTATGAAAAGCATCATACTATAGCTCATGTATTAAATCATCAGCCAAAAAGTCATTTAATTCACTTAATGTTTCAGCATAGACATTAACTTTACTTTATAACCTAACATTTATCTAATAGTCACTGTGCCTACTCCACAGAATCAATAAAAATGTTTAAATGTATTTTTATTGATTTCATATCGAGAGAGGGAGAGAGATATAGAAACATCAATGATGAGAGAGAATCATTGATTGGCTGCCTCCTGCATGCCCCTCACTGGGGATGGAGCCTGCAACCTGGGCATGTGCCCAGACTGGGAAGAAAACCAAGATCTCCTGGTTCATAGGTCAACACTCAACCGCAGAGCCACACCATCAGGCAGAATCGATAAAATGTAAATTCAATACACATTCGCATGTATTTGATATGTGCAAGTCTAAATTTTGGATTAGTTTTTATTCACATAAATCTTTAGAGCTTATAAAACATTTTCATTTTAAGATTTGTTTTCACAATATTCTTATGAGTTAAAAGGGCTTAGTTATCACTAACTTCTTTTTAACAATTGGGGAAATATCAGCTGGGAAAATTATTCAAGGAGATGTTAAATTTATAGCACTGTTTCCTGTGCACCATATTGCATAGCACAGCTTCCTGGGAGAGGACATTAGATTTCAAGTCAGACAGTTGAGACAAACCCCAGTTGTTTCCACTTCCTAGCATGAAAAAGTGACTTAATCTTTTTATATCTTAGTTACCAAGTCTATAAAATAGAAATAATTACACTTTGCTCAGAAGAAGTTTGCTCTCTTGGGATAAAATCCAATCTAGTAATGTAGTGGAAATGCTTAGATATCGTTGGCATATACTAAGGACCTAATAAATAATAGCTAATATTTTCATAAACTGAAGGAGATGCTCTTAGAAAACATAATATTTCTTAAATGCGAATGCATGAAAAAGTTCCTGCGGCCCAGCTCCACCTTGTGAAGGCTCCTGACCATCCTGGAGTGAAGAGGAGGCTCCTGAAGTGGAGGCTGGTTGCCCTTGGCATTCACTCCTGCTCTCTCTCTCCTAGTTGGAGCTACTTGAAAGGGAAATTGTTCATCCATATTTAAAGAGCCCAACATCCTTAGGCAAAATGTATTTTGGAACTTCTCAAAGATATGCATGCTTATGGTAGAACCCGAATGTTAGAAATATGACCATATTTTTTTGAGATTTAGATCTCATGAGAGATTCCATAGAGACATGAGACCTCCAGAGTTCCATAGAGATGTAACATGCATGTGCAAAAAAAAAATAATAATAATAATATTTAAAAGTATCCAGGCTTATTTTAGATTTTTTTTATTTTTTTGATGCTTCTGTTAGTTATACTGTTTCTTTGCGTTAGTCCTACTTGAGCTGCACTTATCTCTGAATCCTGATTGACCGTTTAAGAAATTGAAAACATACATTGTGCAAGTTTTTTTGAAAATATTGAGCTCTTCTTGCCGAAACTGGTTTGGCTCAGCGGTAGAGCGTCAGTCTGCAGACTGAAAGGTCCTTGGTTTGATTCTGGTCAAGGGCATGTACATTCGTTGCGGGCACATCCCCGGTGGGGGGTGTGCAAGAGGCAGCTGGTCGATGTTTCTCTCTCATCGACGTTTCTAGCTCTCTATCTCTCTCCCTTCCTCTCTATAAAAAAACAATAAAAACTATATTTAAAAAAAAGAAAATATTGAGCTCTTCTTGATTTGCAGCACAAAAGTACATTGCAAGATCTGAAAGACAGAGTCTTATATTATTCAGAAATGATTTTTCTTCTTTTTTTTTAATCTTCACCCAAGGAGATATATATATATATATGTATGTATGTCATTGATTTTCAGAGAGAGGGAAAGACAGAAACACCAAGGTGAGAGAAATACATCCATTGGTTGCCTCCTGCATGAGCCCTGACCAGGGCCTGAGCCGGAGAGGAGCCTACAACCTTGGTACGTGCCCTTATCCAGAATTGAACCTGGGACCGACCCTTCTGTCCCCAGGCCGAGGCTCTCCCCACTGAGCCAAATCACGTAGGGCATGATTTCTTTTCTTAGTGACCAAATACATGCAGGGGCTTCTCTAGGATATTCAACTTTATGATTTGCCAGATATTTGCTTATTTTTTAATGGATAATTATTCTTTGAGAATCTTCAATCATTAGGAAAGAGCAATAAAAATACTTAAAATCCCCACACCTCCACTAAGGAATCCAATGTTAAGAATTGTGTTCATTCACCACATCTTATCAATGGTGACATCTTCCCACAGGTGTCTCCTCTCTAAGACAGCAAATATGCCAGGAATTATCGTCTATAAGACTAAATAGTGAGAAATGGGAGGAAAGATAAACGATTCAGGTTCTGGAAGAAAAAATCTGTGATAATGAATGACTTGTAAGGATGAAATAAAGCAAAGAGAGGTGATCAGAAAGAGATATCTCTGAATAGAGATATGGGAAAATAAACATGTGGGTAACTATGGTAAGCTTGAAGGAAAGTCTGCAAGGGGCAGAAGTTTGTTTAAATGTTAGTTTTTAATTACGGTTTACATTCAATACTACTTTATATTGGTTTAAAGTGTACAGCATAGTGGATAGATAATCATGTACATTACAAAATTCCTCCCCTTCCCTATCTCAAATACCAACTGGCACCTCATATAGCCGTTACAATACCATTGACTATATTTCCCATGACTATTTTTGTACTATGAATTTATACTTTTTAACCCATTCACCCTTTTCAGGAAGTCTTCCAAACCTCACTCCTCAGACAACATCAGTTTGCTCTTTGTGTCTGTAAATTTGTTTGTTTGTTTGTACTCTTTAGATTTCACATATAAGTAAAAATTATATAGCTTGATCTAGAGGGTATTATATGCCAAATGAAATAGTGAAAAGGCCAGAAGTTTTTTTGTATACTGGCTTTTGTGCTATATTTAGACTTCATTGCCTGTTGAATAATTTAAGTCTGTTACTGTTCTTCTATAGCTTATATAATGTTCAGCCTACTAACTGCAGCACCAGCACCTATATTTAATGTTTCTCTAAAATATGTTATTTTTATAAATAAATTTCTAAAGGAAAAACTTTTATCAATACTAAAGTAAGAAAATTGTGCTTATAGAATCGAGCCAAGTTACTGTTTTTGTTGTTACTGTTTTACTTCATGATTTTCTAAAGTGACTTGAATTTATTCTTCTTATATTCTTTCTGATGTTACAGCATCATGACTCTGAAAACCTAACAAGACCGTTTCTTACACAGTAGCAATCGGTCAGCATAGAGCTCGTGGTTCAGCACTGAGAGCTGCATTACATGTGGAGAAGAGACTCAGACTGAAAGTGTTTGTAAGCTCAGTGAAATCATGGCCGCATTACTCCACAACACAGCTTAACCTTAAGTAAATTGATTTGGAGGATTAATATAGTCATGTCAGGGGAGACAAACTTATCTGCTATGTCAATTCTGAAGCTTACAGAATTGTATTTAGCAGGCTTATTGGTCAGAATGACAACTCTCTAGTCATAAGAACTGAGTCCTGAGCTGAGGTTTAGGTGTGAGAGAGACTAAGATTTAAGAAGTAAATAATAACGATTAAAAGAACAATGCTATCTCTGTGCCTGCAAGATGTCTAAGGCAAACTTATCTCATTTAAAGTAGATACCACAAGCCCCTTTTCTCTTTGAGCTCAGTATCAGGTCAGTTCTCTCCCGTCACTTATTAGGCAGTATGGATTTTCATTTTATATGTTCCTTTTGACCTCGGTGTCACCTCCTTAAGACACTGCATTTTATTTTTGTTTTTAGAAGGAGGAGAATATATCAAAACATTAGAGTTTGATTCCCTTCATCTTTGCATATATTTTGCATTTATG